CAGCAAACTGGAAACTGCCCATCCAAAAAGAGCCCACATTTGGTACCTGTTCACTTGGGCTCTGAATCATCCCAGGACTTACTGTACCTTCAGACATCGGTGATCCCAAGCTCTGAGTTGCAGGAAAAAGGCTTTCCCAATAAGCCAGGGACAAAAGAAACTAAATTCTCTGGCTGTCCCTGCTGACAGCACAGACAGGTTTTGCTCAGCATTCTAAACTATGCTTGGCAAGGAGAAATCTGGCACTTAGACCTGGATACTCTGGCTGCCTAGCAGAGCCCTGTGGGCAAGTGGCCGAGAGTCACTCAGTCTCTCCAGAGTGTGGCCAAAAGCCCTCTTGCCTTATTGGAGCCTAAATAACGCAGAAGGGCATAGAGATGGAGAGGCAGGGCTGTCTGTCACTCCTCGTGCCCTTGTCCATCCCTCTCGTGGGCCACAGTTGCCCACAGAGGTTTGAGCCCAGGGCACAGCAGGATTGTGTCATTTCAGAAACACTGCGACAGGCAGAAGGCAAACCTGAGGATCCGCTTCAAGCCCTCGCTCTTTCAGCATGTGGGAACCCACTCCTCCTTGGCTGGGAAGATACAGAAGCTGAAGGTGGGTACCAGCTGCCTGTCCAAGCTGCAGGTGGCCTGTCCTGCAGGCACCTGGGAACTGGCTGCCTTTGGGTAGGGACATCAGTGACAGCAGCTGGTGGGACGGTGGCAGCTGGATTTCTGTGCAGTGATTGTGTTTTATTCTGAGTTACAGTGAGCTCAGATAGCTCCTGCTCCTCAGAATGGCAGTGACATACACCAAGAGTCACTGCAAGTTCTTAAGCCTTGGTACCGGTCCTGGCCACCCATCCTAAGTGCCAAACCGGGCAAGTGACTTCGAAGCATCTACTGAAAAGCCCTGGAGAGATGACTCCCGGATTGGTCTGACTTCCTTTCCACCCCACTCCATGTTCCTGGGATTTGGTGATAGGTGAACTAAAGCTCGCTATGTAAGAGCTTAAATTGTTGATGTGTGTTTAAACATCAACAAAATAATCAAGCTTCCCACAACTACATGTGCAGGACCCATAGACATATCCCTGGGCTGTGCTCATCTCATGTCTGTGTGATTCCCAGGGAAATGGGTGGTGTAATCCAGTTTGTATCACGGTTCAGTGCCCATCAGGCTGTGTAATCCAGTCATTTTTATGCTATTGTCCCTCTCCCAGCTGCCTTCTCCTCAGGTGTAAGGACAGTTTCCAGAGCTCCTGGGGGAGGGACGTGCCTTCAGGGACACTTGGACAATGAAAGGCTCTTTGATGCTGGATCAGAGTGCAGAGCAGAAGTGTTTCTCTGTGCTGTCTCTCCTGAAACTCTGTCCTGGGATCCAGTCATGCATTCCCCTGCCTGGTGCCTTCCCCAGATCGCTTCCATCCCTCATCCTTCTGTGCTGTGCAAATGGAGAGCTTTTAATTTGCGGTGCCTTGTTGCTGGGTCCTCAGTTCCTCACGGGCAAGAACAGCTCATAGCTCTTCTCTGCCCTTTTGCTTTGTGACCCCCAAGGACAAGGACTTTGGAAAGCAGGCGCTGAGGAAAGAGCATGTCAACCCTCCTGCTGAGGTGAGCACCAGCCTGAAAACCTACCAGCACTTCACCTTGGAGAAGGCTTACCAGCGGGAGGACTTCTTCTGGGCCTTCACTCCCACTGCCGGAGACTTCATCAGATTCCGCTTCTTCAAACCGCTCCGGATCGAAAGGCCAGTGCTCGGGTGGGGTCAGCAGGAGGGCGTGGGGACAGCCTGGAGCATGCAGAGACACTTGCATTTTCCTCTTCTGGCAATTTAAATTAAATTTCTTGCCCATCTCCTCCGTGGCTGCCCAGGAGGAGGGAGCAGTGCTCCTGCAGGGGGAGGATAATTTGACCTTGCTGATTTGACCCTTTTCTGGTGGGGCCGTGTTTGCCAGACCCCCCTTTGCTTTCCTGCACTTGTGAGCAGTCCTTGAGTTAGGTTGTCTGGCACAGAAGGTCTCCTTCCAAACCATGTGCCATGGGCTTTTTGGGAAGGTGCCTGGTAGGTTGAGCTGTCTGATGATTCAGCTGGGGTGAAAGCTATCGTGTCCCCCCTCGCTCAGTGTGGGTTTCCATGGCTTTGGTCTCTGCCACAGGTTCTTCTTCCGCAGCGGGAACATCGAGCATCCAGAAGACAAACTTTTCAACACGACTGTGGAGGTTCTGCCGTTTGATGTAAGTGTTTTATTGAGAATTGAGGTGAGGGTGGAGTGCAAAGCAAAAGGGGTTTGAGAGAAGGGAACTGCTTTAAGCCACCAGGAAAATCTTAACAAGACTCAAGTGCCTCTGAGAGGTGCTGGCTGGGAGCCAGAGGGTCACACCCGATGTGATGCCACCTCAGGAGTGCAGCTGAGCATCACTGTGGAAGCTGTTCCTGCCTGCAGAGGGGATGCTCAGATGGGTGGGATGGTCCCAGAGGAGGGGATGGAGCAAGGATGGTGCAGTGGAAGCAGCAGCCTGAGGAACAGCAAATGTCCTCTTGTTTTGGGGTATGAGGCTCAGGGTGCCAGCCAGGAAATGAGGTGCCAGGGTCTCCTGGCATGGGCAGCTCAGGGGTTGCTGCTGTTCCTTAGGGCTTTTGGGTGGCTCTTGCCACTGGCCTTGCACAACACTCTTCTCTTTCTGCAGAGCCTGCAGTCGGATAAGGAAGCTTTGCAGGAGGGAAGAGGCGCAGTCGTCAAATACCGCAGGACACTGGATGGCTACATCCAGATAGGTACAGCAGGGCATGGGGTGGCAAAATGTCTGCTGGGTTTGATGGCTTGTCTTCACCTGCATGTGAATCAAGACCCTTAGTGGTGTTTGCTTGGCAAAGAGTCATTTCTGCTTGCCAGGAGCCAGGTTGGAACAGGATTTAATTATCGTTGTCTCCTTTGCTCCACTGCCCTCCATCTCAGACCAGGTTGTCCCCTTCAGGTAGATTTTGGTCTTGCATTTCTGCCTGTCTCTGCTCAGAGCTGGGACCAAATTATGCAGATTATCCAGTTGCTTAACCTGGGGTTAAAATCCTCCACCGTGAGTGATTTTGTGGTCTCAGTACTCACACCATTTGCAGGTCAGACTTTGTCTCTTGCCACCTAAACTTGTTTTAGTGCTTGACCTGCCCTTGGACAAGAATGAGTGATTGCTGCCTATGGGGACCTGTTGGTGTGGGGTGCAGCCCTGGTGTCCCTCTTAAGATGTCTTTTTTTTCCAAATTGATAAATAAAAGAAAAATTCCCTGGGACGTGCAGCACTTTGCCACTTTAGCATTCGTCTGCGTGCTGGCTGGTTTATCCTAGTTGCATTTCCGAAAAAAAAAAAGAAAATCACACCCCTCAGGGAGGGGGGGAGGTGGAGGGGCGATGCCAGGGGACTGTCCCTGCGTCACCCATGTGCTCTCCCCACCAGGCTCGTTCTCCAAGGGCGTTGCAGAGGGCGAGGTGGACCCGTCCTTCGGGCCACTGGAGGCCATCAGGCTGTCCATCCAGAGCGACTCCCCGGTGTGGATCATCCTGAGCGAGGTAAGCCGGGCTCCCTTAGCAGATCCCCACCGCAGCCCCACACGTTGCTCTGATCCCATCCCTCTCTTCTTTCAGATTTTTATCAAAAAAGCAGAGTGAAACGGGCATGAGGCAGAACGGACACACATGTGGATCCCTGGTCCTGCTCCCTCCCTCCCGCTCCCTCCTCCCCGCGGCGCCTTGCCCGGACAAGGACAGTGCAGGGCCGGCTGCCGGAGGTGGCACACGCCAACAGACCACAGCAAAGCTGCTGCCGGGCTGGCACCACCATCCCTAGCGGTGCTGTGGGGCCAGGGCCCGTCATCTTCTCCAGAAGAGGAACAAAAAGCAAAACCCAACACCCCGTGCAAAGGGCTGGCTTTGCTCCACTCCCTCGGCCCCTCGGGATGCTGGCTGCCGCTCGGGACACACGGACACGGGGGACAGTTTGGGGTCGGGATGAGCTTTAGTGAGCATGGGGACAAAAAGCACCTTCAGCCCAGGACAGGGCAATCTCTGGCTGTATTTGGGGACAGAGCAGGGCTTGGTCACGGTGAGTCCTGCCGGCTGACCCCACCGGTGTGCTGGGATGGAGGCGGCCAGGGACCGAGGTCTGCCCTGCCCTCGCCCAGGCAACAGTCCTGGCCACAGCTGAGGATTAAGCGAGGTCAAAGACTGACCCTCCTTCAGCAGAGGAGGAATGAATCCGAAGGGGTTGGAGCTATGAGTATGGCAGGGAAAACAAAAAAATAAAATACGCCACACTGTGCCTGCCAGCATTGATCACAGCCCCTTAACTCACGGTGAAGTCTCCAGTGTCTTCATGCCTTGAGATTGAGTGCAGAAACCATCTTTTTTAAATAACTATTTCAGTTATTTGTTGATGTGAGGTTTTTTTGGGGAAAAAAAAAAAGCAGAAGTAGCCCAGTTCAAAAATAGTAGGGATTAGTGTAAATCCCAATGTCCTTTCAGCTATACACTGGAATGCATTATACTACTTTAATGTGCTGTATTTTTTATTATTGGATACATTTGATTTTTCAAGTACATCTCTCTATATAAATATATAAAATAATGTGCACTGTAATAAAAGCTAAATTTAAACCTTTGGTGCAGCAGTGAAAGTCACTTGCAGCAGGGCTGCTTTAGTCACCTGTCAACCCCAAGTTCACAGTGGAAGGTGAAATCCAGAGAGGACAAAGTCCTACTGGGGAGTAGGTGATAAATGAAGCCAGGGCCAAGCCAAGGTCATTAAGTCAATGCCAAGAACAGACTTTAGCACTAGAGTCAGGCTTTTCTGCCAATATTTGGATATGGTTTTAGACAAGTTTACCCGTCCTTTCCAGTTAATCACAGCAGCTTTTCCTGTAAAACCCAGTCCCCAGCCCTCAGATGTTCTCACACCAGTTCCCAAGCACGTTTGACAATCACAGGTGATTTCTGTTGAGAAAAGGAATTTATTTTTGTGCATCCATGATGTGATCCTTCCAACACAGATCATTACAGCAGTAAGGAGGAGAGATGACAGCATGCGGGTCAATCTGTGCTCCACGAGGCAGAGCCAAAGGCATTTTAGAGCAGATAGTGCTACAAAACCCAGCAGTGAAGCAGGAGCTGGACAGCATTTTCTTCCCATGATCTCTGAAGAGCAGAGGAGTGCCAGCGTCAGCCTCCCTTCAGAGGGGACCACAGAGCCAGGGAGGTACTCACTCCCTGACTGTGCCAGCCGACCGTTTTTGGGAGAGCCATGGCCCCTCTCACTGGGCACTGTGTTGCTGGAGGGGCTGTGCCAGTGCTGCCATTCATGTGGAGGAGTGGGGCTGCAGGAAGTGTACCAGGAGCCCGGCCATTGCCAGCCCCAGCAGCAGCCAGAGCAGCAAGGCACTGGCATACATTGGTCCCAAGCTGGGCAGGAGAAAACACTCAGGTCAGACACCACCAGCCCATCTGGGACACAAGGTGTGCTGACAGGGCTTGGCACCCCCAACGCTTTGAGACAGTCAGGGAAGAGGTGACACAGCCACAAGCACATGGGGCAGGAGGGGAGGAGAAGGAGGTGATGCAAATCTGCCTTCAGTCCCACCCGTGGGAAGGAAACCTGCTGCAGGGGCCACATCCTGCCCCCAGCCTCCCTGGGCTGGTGTTGGGGTGCTTACGCCCAGGGCTGGGTACTCACCGTCCCTGCGCAGCCACGGTGTATCCCTGGAAGTACTTGAGGCGGGTGTAGAGGTACAGCAGCCCACATGCCACAGTCACATCTGGAGGGGAGAGGGGAGTCAAGTTCTGACAGGGCCAGGGGTCCCTGGACACTGCTGGGGCTGCCTTCCAGCACAGGTACCCACACCCCTGCTTCTCCCCGCAGATGGGGCATGGCCCCGAGAACCAGATGCAGAGGGACTAAGCTTTGAACCACTGCGGGAGTTTAAACGGGTTTTCTTCCTTCCCTTCTTGTGAGGGCCGAACTTCTCTGCCCCCCAGAGTTGCCCTGGGAGTTGGGTTGGCAACACTCCCATCCACGGTCTTTCCTTGCAACTTCCCTCTGGCAGCAACCAAGCCCCTGAACTCACTTGGTACAGCATAGACAGTGGATGAGTAACTGTTTGGGTTGTGGTTTCTTGTTCTGACATAGCAATTTGGGTATCATGTGGCAGCTTTGCCTCAGATTGCTGCCCCCCCAGCACTCTGGGACAGCCTGACCTTATCTAAGAGAAGCAGCACAGTGGGACAGCCAGGCTCTGCCAAAGGAGCAAGGGCTGCCAGTGCCTGCTCCTCCAGGCAGGAGGGAGGCTCAGCTGCTCCCAGCAGCTTCATGGATGCTGGAGTTGAGGTGCTCCTTAGTCCATCTGGCAAAAGGGGAACTTTGCTTTCCCCAAATAGTGGCCTCACAGGTACAGAGAGAAAGTGTCTGAGTTGCAGTGGGATTTAAACTGGGGGGCTTTTTTGGTTTGTGCACATGGCTTGGGGTTTTCCCCCATCCCTCTCACCTTGATGGAAGAAGATTCCAGCAATCCAGAGGAGCGAAATGAAGATTGGGAAGTACTCTGAGCAGTTTGCCCTGGTGAGAACAAGAGATGAGAGTTAAAACTGCCTCATATGTCAGAGCCTGGTTAACCAAGGTCAGAAAAGGAAGCTGGAAACACACATCAGAGCAAACCAAAACTCTGGAATGATGAGCTATGGCTGAGGTGGAGATTTGTCTCTGCTGGACCCTTGACAGGCTCTATCCTGGCCCCACAAACAGCACTGCCAGAGAGCTGCTGCACCTACAGTTGCTGGGGGAGAGGCTCCTTGTCAGTATTGAAGGAGATTTCTCTTCCCCTTGGACACCCAAATTTGCATGTCACACAAGTCACAGTCCAAGAAAGTTTTCTCTCAGATAAAATTCAGCAGAAAGTGATCAGATCTGCAGCCAGGTTTTCTTCTTCCTTTTTCCCTTAGTGACAAAAATAGAGATTTTCTGCCAGAAAGGACAGTAGGAGCTGTGCTATTAAAGACATTCAGTTTGGTTCTCAGTTTCTCCTACATTTTACCATTCCCTAGGTAATATAATCTTAATTTTGGCCAAGAATTTACCAACCTCTGGGGAATGGAGCCAAACTGTGAGCTGGAAAAAGGCTGAAGAACCCTATGCTGCAAATAGGAGTTTGAGCCTCAGTGAGGGGAGGCTGCCAGGTTTCCTCAAGTGAGTAATACAACAATACAATTTTTCCTTTATATATATATATATAACATTATCCATTTGCTTTTCCGCAGGGAAAAATAGGGGAAAAAAACCACAAAGAGGCAATACCTTTTTTCAAGTCTGAGTTCCCTGAGGTCACCTTCTCTGCAGATCATAGCAGAGGGCTTCCCAGCACACCACAGCCCATGGCACGACTTGGTTGATGCACATTTAATAGTAAAGTATTTAATTAAAAGCCACATCAGCAGAGTGGGGTTGATGCCTCCATGCAGGCTGGCCTTCCATGGCACCGCAGAAGGACTGAAGGGGGTATTTTTGTCACTCCACAAATGTTTCCTGCACACTGGCAAGGGAATGCAGGCTGCTTTGTTCAGTATTTAGTGCTGTGCTGGAACTACCCTTCAAACCAGCTCCGGCCAATTCCTTTCAATCGCTTACAAAACAGAACGACTGAGATGAAAGATGGAATCTGGTGCTTGCTGGAAGCTGAGGGGATCTGTGAACGCTTCCAGTTTAGCTCCAGCATTGCTCTCTCCATAGGAACAGAGCAAAAAGAAACAGCCCTCAGCATGGGCTCACCAGTGCTGACTCTCACAGTACAATGGCTTCTGAGAGGGAAAAAATTAAAACACCCTCGTAGCTGGTTCTCCCAGCAAGGCCCTTTGCTTCAATTCAACAGCAAAAACTTACAGGCAAATGTCAGGTTATTAATATATCTTCGGCTGCTCTCACGATTTGGAGCCAATGGTAGTATTAAATTTAATGATTCTAAGCATTAATGCTCCACACCTCTTTCATATGGCCACTAATTTGTAATTTGGCTGCCTCATGGTGCCAGAAGGAGGATTATCATGGATGGACAGAAACACCCCAGCCAAAGGGCTCTAAATCAGAACTCAGACCTCTGCACGCAGAGCATTGAAAAAGAAAAATCTAATATCAGTAACAATAAGTGAAAAGGAGACTTGAGGGTGACAAGTCTCTCCTGACAGTGACAGTTGACTCAAGTCACATCTAGACAAAGTCATCACAACAAAGACAAAATCTTACTGAGCTCTGAAGATCCGCTCAAACTCAGGGTGACCTGTTGTTTCAGGAGGGGAGATCTTGTACTTCCGACGGGCATAGATCACCTGCAGTGCAAAATAGGCTAAAAACAGAACAACACAGGAATGGTAACAGTCCAGCAGTGTTTGTTTAGCAAAGCTTTATCTAGCTTGGAATCAAGCAAGTGGTTAGAATAAAAGAGTCGATACGCTCTGGGTCCAACGTCCAGGGCTGTCACACATGACCTGGTATAAATGTGCATTTATTTCATGCTTGCACTTTAAATTCAGCTTTGGTTGTCCTGGCACAGCGCTGGAGCTGGATGGCACTTTGCATTATCTCACATCCTTGGTGCTGCTCCCCAGCACAACAAACACAGCAGGTCCTGCAAAGAACAATAAAATCTTCCCAAGTCCATTCCCATCATAGAATCATTTCTTAACCTTGCATTTGTGTTTAGAGTATCCATACACCCTCTGCCAGTCTGATGGGAATGATATATAACATTTTCCACTATTCCTAATGGGTGCAAAGCCTTTATACAAGGATGGACCACGTCACAGAGCAGCATCCAAGCAGTCAAGCACTGGGATATCATTAAGTCAATTAGATATGTTCATAATCATGGCAACAAAAGGAAATGGGGAAGGGGGTGATTATTTTTTCCCCTTCATTCCTGCAGGGGAGCCCCAAGGCTCCAGCAGTTCAAGAAGCAGAGATGCTGCCAATACCTGCTATGAGGCTGTGCCAGGTTTGGGCTGAGGCACTGACTTGGTGTCTGCTACACCAGTTCTTTGTACATTTGTAAAGGACATGGAAAGTCACTTTAAAACAATGGAAACATGAAGATTTGGACTGTTCCATTATTTATTGGAAGATCTTACTTCCACAGGTGATTGCTGATGCTTCAAGTGTTTTTATTTAGGTGCACCACTACACTGCTGATTTTATTGAAAACTCCTAATTTCATATAGGAGAAAACTAAATTATAAAAACAGTTACTCTGGTGGCTGTGGCAGTGTCACTGAGACACTTGGATGAGCAGATAGCAACTCACACAGCAATATTTCCAAGACATCACACAGAGACAAGGAGCCAGGGTGCAAGGCCTGCCTTGTGGACTGTCTTACTGTAACAAAGATAAAGGCAGAACAGCAGGATAGAGAAGGGGAAGTAGGGACAGATGTTCCAAGATTAAAGACAAGATGTGTGCCTGCAGAAAAGCATTAGAACATATGTAGAAGGGAATTAGAAATGTAAATAATCTGATGCTATGTGACGATGTGTATCACAACATTTTAGTAATTTAAATACACAGACATTCCTTGAAGAACACACTTTAGAACAATCAAGCATGTTCTAGTGTCTTCCACAGTGATCCAGCCCTAAATGAGAGGTGCTGAGAGAGCAAGGAGGGGAGATTCTTCTTTTTTGGGAAGAATCAGTCCCCAAAAGCACTTCTCAGAATGATGTGTTCATAAAACCCACACTGCACGAGCCTTCTCAGCATGGACTTTCAGAGAAAAAGAGTTCAACCTACTCTGTAGATCCTTTCAAACCATTTTTTTTGTGATTCATGTCTCGAGTTTAATCACCTGTGTGGATTCCCATGTGGCTTGCAGGGACTGAGCTCTCCCTGAACTTTGCTCCTTGGTGGAAATATTCTTCATTCTCTATTTGATTATGTCCACACACTTGTCAAACCATATCATAGCTGTTATCTGCCACATTAGAGTGAACATGGCAAACAAGCCCTGTGGGGCCTGACAGACAGTGACATTGCATAAGCTTCCTTTCCTTTGAAGTAAAATAAAGGAGGGGGGAAAACCTGGTGTAGAATAATTCTGCTGTGTGATACTGTGTTCACCACAGGGCTGGGGCACAGATCTGTGGGGCACTAAGCTCAGAGCTTCACTAAACTGAGCATGAAACTGCGGGCTCCCAGGAAATTCAAAAGAAAAAATAACAATCAACCAATGCTGTAACTAAGCTCAGCCATTAAACTGCATCTCCTACACCAGGATGTGATGGAGGAATATTCATAGGTACACAGCCCATTTCTGTGTTTCAGTGCTCACCTGCTCAGAATGAATCCCAGATCTGTAACTCACCTACAGAATGTCCCCTCAAAACATGCAAGGAAAGCCACTGCACAGCTCTGGCTCACAGTGACACGAGCAACATGTATTTCATACCAGTAGATAGAAAGAAAACACGTAGTATTTTGCCATTGCTCCTTGGCTTCCCATGCAGGGACCATAAAACCAAGATACTTTATCCAATCTAACACAGATAGGAGGGTGGCAATGCTTGCTGTTTATCTGTTGGCTTCACACCTGGGTATGGTTTGCATAGCATGAAAGCAAAATGCCTAAGGCTTCAACCTTTAAAAACAGTACCTGAAGTTCCCATAATAGAGACATATTTGAGACAAAACTGCTATCTAAGGATTTGCTACTGAGGGGTTCCCAAAGGAAAAGGGCTTAGCAGCATTTCTGTACCTCAATTTTAAGTTTTCTTCATGTCTTCTCTTTGCATACTAAATGCTCCCTCACCCCCACTTAGTTTAATAACAAAAAAATTCATAATATAGAAGCATCTTCCATTTGTAGTTGCAGATATTTCCCTTTAAATTGTTTGAGTGGAAATTATGATGTCAGAAATCTTGAACTCTATTCTTCAAGTTGCATATTTGTATTTTAAATAATACTTATACTAAGAGATTTATCATCTGATGGCTAAAAATACATGAGGCTGCTCAGAGATTCACATCCATTTGTAAGTAGAGGTGTGATAGCTCTATGGTGAATTAATTCAGTAATAATAAAACCCACAAACCTTCCCTTATAGAAATCTGAAGATTTCAATATAATGGGGGCTCTGTCCCCATCCCAGCCAGGGGAGTGTCCCCTTCCATGACCCTCCTGAAGGTAAGGGGGAGAGACTTTGCCCAAAGGACCCACAATTAAACAGAGCTTGGCAACAACACTGCTCTTTCTAAAAGGTCTAAATGCATCTATTTATACCACGAGAAGTCAGTGAGTTCCTCTGACGATGTTTGTGTCTATTTCTGACCAGAAGAGCTTACATTAGTTTCCAAATTACTGTGCTGTCAGTTCATCTTGTCATCTGCTCTGTGCAGTTCAGCTGTAAGGACACATGATGATATTGGTCACAGTGGAGAAATACCTGTGTGCATGAGGCTCTTTTCTCTGTACATACCATGTCTGTACACCGACCTCTTCATCAGCACACTTATAAACCTGCCTTCATTTTGGTTACCTCCAGCCACTCCAAGTTATATACTGCCTGCTAAAATTCAAGCACAAACTATTTTACTTTAAGAACATTCTACCGAAATTGTTTTAAGCCTAACAGTTTTACTTGCTGGCTCTGAGGTTTGCAGATCATTCTAGTCCCTATTAAATAATGACCACCCTCAGGCATGACACTTCTGCCACGAATGGCCAAACATTTGTATCATTTTACCCTGCTGGAAAACAGCAGTTTTCACTCCATAGAGACTCCAAGAAAAATACAGGAACCACATTTCACAAAGTTTAACATAATTAGCTCAACACTACCGAGCATTGTATAAAGGGCATTTACCTTGCTCCAGGACTCCCAAAACCGTGATGGTGGCCAGCTGGTCTATCTGATCCCTCATGGTGCTGACTGGAGCAAACCCCAGCCAGGTGTGATGGGTACAGCTGCACCCCAAACCTCTCTCCCACCCTCCCAATACCACACACTTCAACAGAACTGAGTTATACCCCTGAACACAGGTGTTTCCTCCACCACACCTCAACTCACCTTAACTCTCTCCACACCACAGGGTTTTCCAAAGCAGGCAGCCACCAGGAAATGGCTATTCCAGCCAAGTGCCTTTTGCTGAATGATGGAACAGTAAAAAGCTTTGCATGGGCAAACTGTGAAATTCTTGTAATTATATTTACAGATTTTACATGACGATTGAATTATACGTTGCCAGCAATGGAAAGATGAAGGAATTCTTTCCAGCCCTTTGTTGCTGGTTTTAATGAGCTCTGAAGCATCTCAACTATGTGAGAGGTTGTAAAAATTATTAACAAGCATTTGAAAATAAATGACTTGACCTTCTGTTCTTATCCCAAGGAGTGGAGTTGACCATGTTCAAGATTTGCACTCCAGCTGGAATAAGTTAATTCTGTTACTGGGTTCTGTAACTTTGAAAAGAGCATTCAGGTATTTTATGCTACTAATTACTGCTCTAAGGTTACCAAATAAGAATAAAGTTCTTTTCTAGCACTCACTCACCTTTCGCAGTTTTCTGATGTTTTTAAGGTTCTGCAGTACGAATCCTTTCCTGGCTATCATACAAAATAAAAGTTCTCAGTTCCAAATGGAAGGCAGCAGAGGATGTAGAAATAGACCCTCAAAAATATTACATTGACATCAGAATTCTAAAACATAAAATTTGAACACCAGCAATATTTTAGCACTGAGTAACTTCTTTCCCCACTCCACAAAAGTAAAATATGTATCAGTTCAAAACATTATCTTGTGTTTTGGAGCAATTTCATGTGGATGACTACTTTGACTTTAAAACTTGTAAAATCAACTAAGGCTTTCTGTTCATTTTGGTGAAAAGAGGGCACAGGACATGGCTGAGCCACTGCATTTTATTCTGTTCAGTCACATACACAAACCCTCAGTGCAGAATTTATGCACATACCAGACCTATCGTTTCTCTTGGGTGGGACAAAGCAAGTTTTTTGTTCTGGTTTGGCTCTTCATCGCCTCAAAACCCCATTGTGACAGCTCATCAAGTTGAAAACTTGTTAATGAATTCAAATATCCAGTATTACACTTTTTTGTGAATAACCACACATGTAAAAAAGCAAAACCACTCCCTTTCTCTATAAAACACTCATATGATGTGACTTCAGACTACCAGACTCAGACTGAAATAGAAATAAAACAATTAACCTTAACTGAACCTATTGGTGACCCACGATTTCACCTGGGGTGTCCAGGATAAGTTCAGAGGGGAAATGTCACCAGGAGTTCTGTTTCTGCTTATGCCAGTTCAACAAACAATTCAGACTTGAGAAAACACTTCCATTACAGAATTATTACATTAGTCTCAGGAAAAACACCAGCATCAAGGAAAAAACATCAAATCGGTTTCTGAGTTGGTCACAAGCTGCCACTGACTCCTTAAAATCTTTGGAAAAACACACAGGTCACTTCAGTGGGGATTGCTTGGGACATTCCTGGTTTACTCAACAATAACTGAAATGCAGCATTTTTAATGGGACAATAAAGTTAATTAAGCAGTAACTTCACAGTTCCCCAAAGGTTAAAATCAGCTGATCCTGGTCCTGTTACTTACTACGACATTTGGTTCTTTATAAGCTTATGAAGTTATAGGTCTCCTCCTCCCTCCAAACATAACACAAAACTTTGTGGGAGTAGGAATATATTAAAAAATACACTCTGGTAAGTCAGGGTGCTGTGAGGAAACCTGAAGGCTCCGAGTTGGGGCTGCAAACACAACACCTGCACGGTAAGACACCAACTCCAACACCTGGGGAATGATCCCTCAATTCTGAAGCCGTGCAGTGGCTCAGGGACTTTTCCAGCTTCAAGCCACAATCCTCACACACATTTCTGCCAGTATTTCATTCCTTGTTCAGAAACATCAACTCATGCCTGCAGAATGTGAGCCCCTGTCTCAGCTGGATTTCTGTGTGTGCCATCTGCCTACATCAAACAAGGCTTGAGGAAACCAGTTTGAACCTCGAAGGCCTGTTATTTTGAGGGAATTGGCATGTTTTTGGAACTCTACCATTTTTCACATGTGAGGTCTCAGTAGTTATTAACATCTTTCTCACCAGTAACAACCACCTCTGCAGCCGAATTTCCCAGCTTAAGGTCTACAATTGCATTCCAAGAAAAAAAAAAGCCCGGAAGCAGTGGGTGCAGCATAAAGCCTTATTTTCAAAGTAAAGTTTTCTAAGGCCCCTTTATCCAGTTCTGGCCTGTTTAAATGGACTTTCTGAAACTGTAAGAATTGGTAAGACACAGCAGCAGAATTTGAGCTGAGCAAAACTGTGTGTTGGGATGAAGGGAAGGAACCATCTCACTAGGAATGAAAATGCTGAACTCTGCTCAGCTCACACAAATGTATAAAGTCACACCATGTATGTTTAATACACTAGCAAAATATTTATTTTATAATGATAAAACAGAAGTGAAGGATTTCTTTTTGGTGTGCACCAGTAATTGTAGTAAAAGAATAAGGGGATTAATGGACTCTTTATACATTTCAATGACAAAAATTCATAAAGGTTAGCATCAAATTCAACTGTTCTCCATTTACAAGCATAAAACTTACCATAATACCCCCCAAAACACATATATAAAGAATTATAGTTTTAAAATCTATAAAAAGTAAAAAATATACAGTCAGAAGATCTAACTCTTATTCAAATCTTTAATATAAAATTGTAAACATTTATTTACACAAAGGAAATGTGTATAACAAAATTTTGAGCACCCTTTTCAATCGTATGGTGGTTTTTGGAAGGCAGTGGATGTTGCACAGTGACACTCTCACCTTGCCTGCCCAACCAAAACCGCAGTTTATAAATAAAGCCATGGGCGGCCGGCTGGGTTCAGTTCAGGGGAGACACATTTTATTGCTCTGAAGCTGCAGCAAATGGAAAGCCCAAGTGCATTTACAGACTTGTTACAGGGCATGAGGGCAGAGCCCAGCCCTTCCCATGCACCTGTGCACATCAAAACCGTATTTTCATTTCCATTGAACTGTTCCAACCTCGTTACAGTGACACCGTATTCCCAACAGTCCGACTGCGTTATGTGGACAGGGACCAAGGCCAGAAGCCAGGGCTGTTTGGATCCTGTTCACACATGGAGACCAATGGGCATTATAAGCCAGTTTTCCTTGAATCACACTTTTAATTTTACTCCAACAGTACCATGAAAAGGCCCTGTCATCAAATCCAGATACCTTCCTGAACAAACCCTCTGGTCAAGCAGGGCAATATCCACCTTAGCTTCCAGAAACAGTGGAGGAAAGAGCACATCTGCATTTTCCTGGACATTTAGCTGGATTGCCTTTTTGGTAGTAACAATGTAAAACAGCAGATGTTCTTTTCCTCCAATTAAGAAACCACAACTGGATGGATTGTATTTTGACTTATTCCGAACAAAGCCTGTGTGCAAAACCTACCAGAAAACAGAGCAGATTTCACCACAACCTAAACAGGGAAGAAAGAAAAGCTGAATCCTACTACCCTGTTATTTCTGTCAAGTGTTTGTAAGGGGGAGAGAAAACTAGTGACACTGAAAGATGTCACTTGAAATTGAGGTCCCAAGCACCCCCGACAGGAAGGGAAGGCACACTGGTGCAAAGTTAACCCTTAAAAATAAAAATACAGCAAACACTCCTTCCCCTGCCATTGCTAGTTTATATCTATAATCTTCTAATGACACTTACCTTGGACCAGGTTTTGGTTCAACTTCAAAGTAAACCAAGATCACTAGCTCTTTTCTTAGATTGCCAGTATAAGAAGAGTTAGCATCAGTTATTTGCATCTCAACTACTTATTCTAGAAAATATCAGAAGTGTCAACAAGCAAAGTCACCAACACCTCTGTCTTCCCATCCAAAGAGAATCTTTATGTTACCTTTTCAAAAGGGAGGGATTAAGCCTGCTTCAGGGAACTTCTATCCACTATTGAACGGTGGGATCCACTGATCAATGCACATCTTTCACCAACAGTTCAACATGATACAACAGCAAATCTGATCAACAGAGCAGAATTCATCCACACTAGGTAAGTGTGCTGCACAAACCATGTTCCATGCATATTTGGAAAGGGTTAAAGTATTAGTGTTAAAAAAGCAGTTTTTAAAAGTGCAAATTGTCTCATAAAGGAGCTGCAGATACAGTAAAATATTTTCCTTCTTTGAAACCAATGATATCTTTCACTTCCCTTCACACCCTCTGGAAAAACCCTCTCTCACACAATTCTGCAGTGCAGAAAACTCCTTAAGATGCCAGTCTATGTTGAAGGAAATTGCTTTAAAATCACAATGCTGGGTTTGGTTAGAAAGTTTAAAGGAGCTTTCCAAGAAAGTAGATTTAGAAAGGGAAGAGGTATTTGTGCATTTCAAACAAAAGCTTTCAACTTTATTTTCATTTTAAAATAAAGGTTAAGGCAAGGTGGTTTGTTGGTGGATAAGGGATTTTTTTGGTAGAGAGTAAGGACTTTGGAACACTGACTGTTCCCATTGTGTTTTGTCCTTTCTGGGACCAATCCCAACATATGGATAAGAGATCCCTTGGGCTGAGCTGAAGAACCAGCATCTGCTTCAAGGGATATTAAAGAAGTAAATCCACCAGACTATAGAAAGATTATCAAACTCGTAACCCAGTATTAAAAAACCAAAGTATTTAAAGGGGGAGACTTCCATATTGGAGCAACCCTGATATAACTATTCTCCCAGGCTGCCTGTGCTATTATTGCTCATAAGGACTTTCCACCTCCCAGCCAAATTCTTTTTTCCTCATTTTTATCCTGAAGTGACAAAGTCTTGTGCTCATTACTAACTCATTGCTAACCTCGGGGAATGAAGTGATCTCAAAAGTTAGTTTTA